GGCCCCCTGTCGCTGGGACAGCATCAGTCGGTCGCAGCATGATGAGCTCTGCCGCAATGAGACGGCTCCCTACATAATGGTTATTGTGCAAGAGTGACGTTCAGTTCGTTTCGGGAACTCGAGAAGGTCACTGATTTGTGCAACTTGTCCGCGCTTAAGCAATCAGAAAGACCCAGAAGTCACTCGGCACACGGATATTGAATGGACAACGTGATGTGTGTGTCAACTTGATTTGTCTGACAAATCGTACTCAAGCGCCCCCGGAATCCCGTGCAGCAAAAATCGAGCGTCCTGTGTCCAGAGTCCAGACACTGATCTTGCCGTGTTAGTTTGTCTTTCTTGTCAGTGACGTGTCAGGCTTCTCAAGATGAGGCTTATGTTTAGGAGAATAGATGGTGCGAGGGTGCTCATGGGTTGCAGACCCGAATTTCATTTGCTCTACAACAGTACGTGCGCATGTCTCTTGTGCTCCGAGGGTTGCACGCAAGTAGCTGTTACTGTTCTGATGAGGATGTCGTATAATTAGTGAGTGGTGCCAGGTTCTTTCACTTCAGACATCAGAGTTTTCTTGGTCGTGACAGACCTCGTCCTGATGCGCCTGCAGGAAGCCTTCCCAGACGGGAAAGATGCTCTGCCGGGATTATTTTCTGCGCGATTCGACGGTGGACCAACAGAGCACAAGTTCCGGCGTGTGTACGAGATCCTGAAGGCACTGACGCTCTTGAAGATGAGCATGTCCATATTGTTGCCTGTTGTGTTCTTGCGAGACGTTTCCATGGGAAGCGTTCACAAAATAAGTAGCGATAAACCTGGCAGGCGCACAACTTTCCCGTCCTGATGGTCGCCGCAAAATGTGGCGACGACTTCGGTAGATTGACAACTCGCTATTTGAGCCAGATTGAAGAGAATCATGGTAAGCTTATTTGTGTTTGCACGGCTCATTATGCTGAGATTACGAGTTCACCTTTCAGCTCTTTCCACGAATTAAAGTATGCATACGATTACAAATTAGATGTTCTCCCGCTGAAAGTGGAAGACGTCTACCCCCCGCGACCTCCCAGCGGAAAAGATCATCCTCACGACCAGGATGGTGAGGCAAAGGCCTTGATCAAGATGGTCTTCAGACCCAACAAGGCCTTCACAGACTCTTCGATCTCGCTAGGAAGAGTTTCATTCTTTTGAAGATAGAGAAGACTCATTTGAGAGTGTGAACCAGAAGCCTGATCACAGATGCTCGGGCATCCCAGGACGTCCGCGACTTGGATGAGACAGAGATTGCCCGGGTGATCGCAGACTGCTTACTCAAGCCGACGGGGACGCTCGCCATGACAAGTTTGTCGTACTTGCAATTATCGGTGGCGTTAGGGTTTAGGGTTTAGGGTCTAGGGTTTAGGGTTTAGGGTCTAGGGTCTAGGGTTTAGGGTTTAGGGTTTAGGGACATCTTACCGGCAGGAGCCGTAGCACGATGTCGCAAGCACAGCCAAGGCAAGGCGCTGGACATGGATGAGAAGAAGGCTCGCAGAAACCTCGGGCGGGGGGGAACCATACCACCACACCACCAAGGTTTCAGGGTGCAGGGCGCAGGGTTTTGGAGTGAATAGGCTTTGCCAGGTCGCATTCGGCGCTGCACGTCGCTTGGCCACTCCGCCTCCCGCCCTGTGCAGCTGAGTGTCTCGCACGTCAGCTTTGATCCAAGCTGCTTCGCTACTAGTAACCCTTTGCCGCGAGCCCAGACAATCCTGAGACTGATGTCAAGTTTATACAATTGTGAAGACAAGCTCGCAGGGAGGTTACTGCAACGAGGGCAGCGCTGCAGACGTCGAAGGGACGCAGCGCAGAAGCAGGTGATTCGGCTTTACCCGAACCACCTTGAAACCAATCCACGGTAGTACGAAGTACGCAGGAGTTGAGTCTAATTACAGCCCATCTGGGGCCCTGAGCCAAGAACACCGTCATAGCGGAACCACACCTAAACCGAATTGAACCCTCCATGGCCTGACTGCTCTTTCGGGCAGCCTTGGTTTTTCCTGTACGTAGGAGCTAGGAGCGCCGGGCACTGCACAGTTTGCAGGCGGGTGGATAAGGGTTCTTGTAGTTGGTTTTCGGATCCCAGATCTTGGCTGTGAAGATTGACCGAAGAGATTGCTCAAAAAGCCGACTTGATCTATGCGGCTCTTGCGTACTCTTTGATTTTGCTACATTTTTCGGCTGGGGGTTCTTGCAGATAAAAAGCTAAGAGCGAGGCCACTGTCTGCAATTTCAATCCAAATGGGCTGAGAGAATCGCCACTCAACATGTGTTTTCAGCGGGTGAAACCCCTCAGTGTTGACTTGCTTCAGTCTTTTCAAAACCGCCGCAAGCTTCTCTGGAAGCTGGCCTCAAGGATCTCGATCAAACACACAAGAGGCTGAATAATCACTTAGGGTTTAGGCGGTTTAGGGTTTAGGGTCCGACATCGGGGAGAAGGAGCTGCAGAAGTGATGGAGATTCCTTGGGGTTGACGGCTGCCGTGACAGTGTAGAACTTTCCCGCCATGTATCAGCTTCGAGTTCTTCCTCGTCCGTCTTCAGAGGTAGGGGTTTCATAAGTTGCTGAGGTTCTACGCTACTGATACTGATACATCTTAAGCATGTGCCTTGGATAGTACGCATTTGTTGAACGATTCTGTTGCTAAGACTACATGTGCGGACACTGGAGGATCGATCCGAAACATGCGGGAAAGAAGGATAAAAGCACAGGCAAATCAAAGGTACGCTACCACCGGGCCCTGCACAATCGAAGTGCTTGGAAGGAGCAGCTAGGTCGGATCCTTGCGCCAGCCCTCCGCCGCAGCAAATCCATTGGAGCATGTGCAACTGATTATGACCGTACATGTACGCAGATACCTGTACGCACATTAGATACACTTGCATCTCTGTCTCTCTCTTTTTTGTCTCTCTCGCTCTGTCTCTCTCTCTCTCTGTCATTCGTTGTTCTCCATGAGTTTGTGAGTGAAGGGCGTGGGGGTCCGTATGTGTTTTTGTATTTCTTCAATTCTGTAGTGGTTCCCTGCTGCTACTGCCTTGCCTCTACATGCTGCTGATACTGCTGCTGCTGCTGCTGCTGCTGCTGCTGCTGCTGCTGCTGCTGCTGCTGCTGCTGCTGCTGCTGCTGAGTGCTGCTGCTGCTGCTGAGTGCTGCTGCTGCTGCTGCTGCTGCTGCTGCTGCTGCTGCTGCTGCTATCTGCTTACTGCTTCTGCTGCCCCTAAAAAGCTACCGCTACGGCTATTTCTACCCCTGCTGCTGCTGACACCGCTACTGCTCCTGCTGCTCCTACTCCTACTATTACTGCTGCTGCTGGCTACTACTAGTGCTACTGCCACGTCTCCTTCCAGTTCTACTTCGCGGGCCGTGTCGTAATCTGCCCAAGTTGTGCAGCTATTGTGAGAAAGAGGACTAGTGACTACGAATACCACGCTAGCAGTGTCAGGGGGAGTCAGACGCACTGCAACAGTATCGGCTTGCAGTCAGCGCCGCTTTGAGGCCCGGTGAGTAGGCTCCTTTGGAGACTTGTAATTCGCAGGAAAGGTCGGCGATGCTTTGAATGGCAAGCCCCTTCCAGCTCTTCCAGCTCTGACCTTGAACATGCTGCTGCCGCAGAGGATCACATGACTGCCAGTAGTTCAGCATCTGGCTTCTTAAGATGGCTTGCTTGGTTTCTGGTCATGTTGCGGCCACTGTGTTCTGCGACATAGAGACCTCTCTAGCAGCCCGCTGGTTCGAGCCGAAGATAGATAATAGAGGCTGACTGTCCAGAGGCTACAGCTTTCTTCAACTAGTGATTGGAGGCCTGAGCCCAAATTGGTTGGAGAGGCCGTGCACACCACATGAAAGTATCACGGTCGGCCGGATTGCTCTAACTGGCTTGTCAGAAACTCTACGACCAGTCATTCTTTCACTAGCACTGATTATTGAAGCAGCTTGGTCAGTGCAAGGAATCTGGCTATCTCGCCTTCCATGCGAGAGTTCTGCATAGCAACCACCAAGCGCTGTATGGGATTCCTCGACGCCCAGGGGCTCCTTTCAAGCCTGGCAGTCTGAACTTGTCCCAGCCAGAGAGATGCCAAGGGCCACCGTCATGTCTGCTTCGGGCCGTTCCACTGAATGGTTGCTTGGCTGGCTGGGGCCGCCTTTTCAGCAACTCCAAAACAGGAATGCGTCTTCTCTGCATGTTTCAAGTGAGAGAGGTTTGGAGTTCTAGTTTAAAACACTTTACTTAAAGCGTTGTTGAGGATTCCGGGTCTAGACGTTTCATACTAACACAGCGAACACACGAAGCATAAGATTGAGCCTTGTAGATATAGGGACGCCAAGGCCAATTCAGCTTGTAACTTGGCCTTGCGGTGAGCCAATTCCACAGCATGTTCGCAAAATTCGAAGGTGCGATTTCAGTACATTAGGCGATAGGCATGCGCTCGAGTAAACGGATGCTATGCAGCGCTCTTCGGAGGACTCGAGGGGCCAGCCATGCACCTCAGTACGTGCATAAGTGAAGAGGTGAACTTAGTTCCATGGTATCGATGTCGTGTTGCTGAGTGTGTTGGCGAGCCCCGGACTAACATCTGTCAATCAATCACATAAGTTACAGCGGTCTTGTTCCCAAGTGGCTATTTGGATGGCCAGGGAAGGGCCAAGCATAAGAGCGACCGCAGTGGTTGTTTGCTGGCTGCGAAAAGGGGTTCAATCTTTCACGTGCGCGGAACAATGACATGTCTTGTATCCTAAATGGTCTTGAACCGAGGCCAGTGAGGCTTCAGCTGACTGAGAGTATTATATGGTATGTGATTAGGCCAACACTCCGGCTGAAGTCGAATCTGGGACCTGCGGACAGCAGTTTCACATAGACAATAGAGAATCTTGAAGGTTCTGAGGATCTTCTTTGACCTTGGCTCGAAGCTTGGCCTTTCCTGATTCGTGACCGTTTCAGTATCCTTCAGTCTTGCTCTTCACGAGCAAGAAAGCTCCCAGAGCAGCCTCTACGGGTAGGGGTACATTGGGATTCAAACGGAGTATTTGCTGTTAGTGACACGCGACACGCCACCATGGCTTTGCGTGTGCGAGCTCTCCTCGCCTCCTTCTGTGTGGCGGCTGGCGTCGCATCGATTCGGAAGGTCCACGGAAGAGATCCTAAACCCAGTACAAACTATTTTTGCTTATCTGGGTTAACACTTTCACCAGTCACTTGGACGTAAAGTTCTCCACCGACCCATCTTATGCTAAGGCTTGGAATCTTGGTTGCGGTTCTGACCTTCAGCAAGTTTCATCGTAGGAGGCTGCTTCAGAAATACACCGCTGGGTTGAATTGTTGAAGTGCCTGCTTAAGGGAGCTCTCTGCTCAGTTTGACATGGTGTAGGGATCGCGATTTTTGCATACGATGCATTGTATCTGTCCCTACAAGAACAATCATGGCCCATGGCAAACACTTGGAAGGTGCATGTGGTTTCTTCCAACCATCTGGACATTGGCTTTGACGGCATTCCCGAAGTCGGATACGATAACAACGTGATCAATCGGTACTTCTCGGTTTACTTCCCTAGAGCCATCGACACGGCCAGCAAAGTCCCTTACATCTGGATGACGCAGTCTTACCTGGTCTCGCTGTACCTGGACTGCCCAACTGGCATGGGCTTGAAGTGCCCTTCGCAGGAGGAACGGCAGCGCTTCGTCGAGGCAGCGAGGGCGGGGCACATCGTCTGGCACGCCTTCCCCCACAACGCGCAGCCGGAGTTCATGGACCCCAGGACCTTCGCGGCGGGGCTGCAGCTCACACACGACATCGACGACACCTTGCAGGTGCCGCGGAAGACCGTCCTGAGCCAGCGGGACGTTCCGGGCATGACCCGAAGCGTCATCCCCATCCTGCGCAGCCACGGTGTGAAGGCCATCAGCGTGGGCAGCAACACCGGCTCTTCGCCACCGGCGGTGCCCCGTCCTGGTGTCTTCCGCTGGAGGGACGAAGCGTCCAGCAGCGAGGTCTTCGGTATGCACCATGCCGGTGGCTACGGTGGTATCCAGGTCCCCGACTGCGTCGTCACGCCGGGCTTCGACGAGGCGCTCTGCCCTGACTGGCGAGGGGACAACTCGGGACCGGCGCAACCGCAGGAGTGGACTTCCGATTTGGGCACCATCAAGAAGGAGTTCCCTGGCGCCGACGTCGTGCCCAGCACCTTCGATGCCTTCATCCAGGCACTGGAGAAGGCAGCACCAAAGCTGGACTTGCCGGTCGTCACGGCGGAAATTGGAGATACTTGGATCAACGGTGTGCAGTCTGATCCTCTGAAGACGATGAGGTACCGTGCCCTGCAGCGCGCGCGCACAGAGTGCTTCGAAGCCATGCAGTGCACCGCGCAAGATGCTTCCGTGGCGAACTTTACTCGCCTCCTTCTGAAAATACCGGAGCATACCTGGGGCGTGGACATCAAAACGACCCTCCATGACTTCAAGAACTGGAGCAATAAAGCTTTTGAGGCTGCCAGGACGGGCGACAACTACTTGCAGACAGAGCTGAGTTGGCGGCGGCAGCGCGACTACCTGCACTGGGCCCTGGAGGCTTTGGACCCCGGAGAGCACCCGCTCGCGCACCGAGCCAAGCAACAGCTGTGCCTCGGCCGCATTGAGGTGGACATTT